CACTCTTAGCCTACTCTCTGGGGTGTATGTCTTTGCAGCTGTAGGCAGAGGGGTGTGACGTGTGTGGCCTGTGTGTTCTTATATTTTGGGGTTTAGAAACTGATTTCAAGGCTGGAATTGTAGATTAGAAAGGACTCCTGAGATCACTGAAACAAGTCTCTTGCTATCACAGGTAGCCACTTCATATAACGAACAAATAAACCTCTTTAATCAGGGACCTTTCAAGTGCTTACTACTCCAGTAGTTAGTAAATCCCTCCTAATTTCAAGGGGTTAAAGAAACAAGAAGTCTGCTTAAAAAATTAAAATTCTTGGCCAGAAACACTTCTGATACAAAAATGCATGAAAAAGACAGTTTGACTTCCAGCCTGACCATATTTTTTGCGAATACCCTCAATTAAAATGGTTTTTGAAGGGTTATCCACTTTCTCTTTAATCTTTATAGCTCAGCTGATAACATCTAAAGACATATGACCGTAACAAAATGTGTTATCTTGTGTAACACCTATATTATTCAACATGCTTCAGAGGAAGGTCCAAGGTTACTGTAATTGAAGTAATTATATTTGAGGGAAGAATGTGTAAGCTCATAAAAATATGTATGTTTCATTTTTTTCGTTACTTACCTGTCCGTATTAGAAGCCCATTAAATTATATCCTTCATAAATAAAAAACAGGCTACGTAGTTCTTATGTTTAATAAATTCAGGAGTAAAGGTTAATCTAAATACTATTCAAAGATAATAAATTGTATAATTGAAAATTAACTTCATTATATACTTTATAAAATCTAAAAAAATATTATAAAATTACAAATATAAAAATAAATTACAGCAAATCAAAGGCTTTAAATAAAAGTCAATTTATGTGAATCCTGTTCTCACAAGGTATTATAGGTATCATTCTTCTAATTTCAAGCATTTGTAGTAATGCTGTTTAAATGTATTTTCTCAAGTAAGCCAGTACTGCTGAACTAATAAAGACAATTAAACTAAAAATTGCTTGGGAAATATATAGATCTAAATAGATTCTAAAGGGTTTTTTAGCAAGGAAGATTTACAAACATAATACAAAATTACAAGAAAATATAATATTTCTTAATAGAACAATTATATATTAAAAATTAAAAACTAGGAGCACGTGTCCCCTACAAAAGTGATGCAGAAGCAGAAGATCTCAAGGCAATGCCAAAAGAGCTCCTCAGATTTAGAGCAGAATGCTAATCTCTCTCTAGAAGAAAAAAGTAGTGGGTAGTCATGGAGCAGAGAAATGTTAAGTGGTAGATAAGGGGTAAGGAACTGTTTATGTTTTAGAGGAAAGAAAGATAAAGGGTAATTTACAAACCATGGAAGATAAAGAAGTTAAAAAGAGGATGAAGATTCTAATGGTATATTTTTAGTTCACGCCTTTTGGTATACTGTGAAGCTTTTATTTTTGGTTGCCAGACACATTTTTGAAATCACTTTGCGTATTTCCCAATTGCAGGGAAGACCAAGAGCTCAGAAAGAAGTGATGTCTTTGTGTGTACTTATGTGAGTGAATATTTCCTCTGCCTTCATGAGCGTGGTGATTGCTCCATCCCAGCCACACCATTAGGAGGAAGGGTATCTCTGGTACCAGTGGCTCTTGTCTGCCTTCAGGCATATGCTTTCATACATAATTTGGAATCTGGGTGTTGTTTCCAGCTCAGTCCACACAATCACCTGCCATTTTCTTACTTTAATAACTTTACATCCTATTTGCTAATTACTGGACTGTGTTAAAGCACTATACCATTCCCTACTGTCTTGTTACACGTTTAGTGTCTAATCATAATCCCTATCATTACTATCTGAGATAGATTTGCTTAGTGTGTTTAGTGCATTTGAGGTGCCTAGGGTATCCAAGCAACAGGATTTCTGGGAGACCATCACTTCCCAAAGTCCCACAGAGCCTGTGCTGTCTCTAGGGACTTATTCTCAGGTAGTGGAATCCTGCCCTCACAGGCTGCAGTCTTCGGTGAAGGTTTGTCAAAGGTCAGAGAGATTATCTGAACCATTTACCTCTGTCCCATGTTTTTCACTCAGCTTGAGTAATGATTCAAGTTTTTGATTCCATGGAAAGACTAAGCCTGAAAAGCGGTGGCTCAGCTCAGATGCCTGAACAGTTCTCTAGTGTCATTAAGGTACCTGAAGGTTTCCAGTTGGCTTCCAAAACTACCAGTCTAGAAGCCACATGTCCCCTCTAGGTTCTGGATCACAGCCACCAGACCTATGTCAATGTCTCATGTTCACTAGACTGTCTCAAAAACACAACAAATCACATTGCAGGCAGCTTAATTGCTGTCTAAGTGTTTTCATCTGATCTCAGGCTTAGGTTGTCATCACTGGCAATGGTGTCTGTCAAAACATTTGGTGAGCTCCTGAGAGCATCCTGCTAAAGTTTACTTCCTACGTGTGGTCAGATGACATGCTCTCTAGATGCCATTTGACCATATTGATTAGAATTCTGTAGATACAATGCAAGCTTAGACAGTTAACTCACAGACACCCACACTGAGAACAACTAGGTTGTTAAGATCACCACAATGCAGCATTATTGCTGACTCCTGTGATGCTCTGAGTAACTTCACCTGGTAACTTCACTACTGAGATGAGGATAGGCAGTGACCTTTCTGGGTTAAAACATAGGTCACAGTGCTGCTGTCTGGATAAAGCCAATTCTAAGGGGAGAAAAGAAGTCATGAGGCAGAACAACATCCACCAACTCCACCAAATGTCAAAGGTAAGCATTAGGAAACCGTGACCAGAAGCTTCCTATACATAAGCATTAGGAAATCGTAACCAGAAGCAGCTTATGCAGCTTCTTCTTTTCCCAGGCCTCAAGGCCATCTATGGATGTATTTGTGAAACATTGCTTGCAAAAAAACATGTTCAGGTCTTTTTCCTATGGGCAGTGGGAACTGGCTGCTATGTAGGCAGCCAAGTTGCAAAACCCTGGTACTGCTTTGTGTGATGTAGACCTCCATCAGTTGTCACTCAAATGTCTTCTGAGCAAACACTAATGTTAGCAGAAATGAGGAAATGCAATCTAAATTAGTTGTTTCAGTGAAGACGGAGAGCACAAATAGAGGTCAGAGCATCCTATTCTGAGGTAATTGGTTGAATCGCTCTCCAGAGATCTGTATTTCTCTGTTTTCTATAGAAGAATGTTTAACTGATAAATGCATACAGTTAGGTGCAGCTGATCTTAACCTAGCTGCTCACATTGTCTCTGTCCTTCCACTGCTACATGGCAGACAGCTGTGGGGATCTGATAGCCAGTCACAGTGGGTACAAAGATTACCACTTCTCCCAGTTCATAACAAATCAGCTCATAGCACTTGGTTTTTATATAAAATAAAATTCATATGAGCCAAAACATGTTTTTTCAAAAAATGTATTGTAGTGCCTTTGGAAAATACATTTGGTGCAAAGGCACTGAGCAGGGCTTTTTTTTTGTCTTTCATGGCACATGCATGTATAGAGGCAGATGGTAGCACCATGGTCATTCCTTCTAGATTTGAAACGTTTGAGACAAACAAATACATCCACCTAAAAACATAAAAGGCAGGTCTCAAATAAGAAAGTCTGTACTTCTGAATAAATACACACATCATTTCCAGTATCAGCTCAGTTGAGCTCTCTGTCTCAGGGCATTTGCTGTTATAGGTTGTACTTCAGTTACAGAACTGAATGGGATCCATACAATGCAATGATAATAAAAACAAATCAAGGGAAGGGTTTGATTTTATTTTTTTTTCTGGTTGCTGAGAAGTGCCATTAACAAATAACCAATGGGGCTATTGGGATGGAAAAATCCATCATTAACGCCTCCATCTGTAGAAAAATTGGCTTCAAGTGACAGCAAAAAAGCCAAAAACACAGAAACAAGGATTTCCTGAAAAAGCCACAATCCAACATGAAGGTATTTCTTACAACTGCTTTATAAAAGTTGGGTACATGCTGTCAGAACTCCTCTGAGGTGCCAAACACCTTCAGCTCCCTTTGCTGCCAGTGGATGAGGAAGGTGCTTGGCCGCCACAGGGTGAAATCCCATAATTTGTCATAGCTTGTGTGACTCTTGAAACTTCCCTTATTCTGAATTACTTAAGACAGGAAATAATCATATCCCCTGTGGCTAATGTGGTTAAACTGGAAAAAAACCTTTTGTGATGAGATGGCAAATAGATAGAAGATAGATGGATAGATAGATAGATAGATAGATAGATAGATAGATAGATACATACATACATACATACATACATACATACATACATACACATACATATACACACACACACACAAATACATATGTAAGAGCAGACAGAGATATAAGTTTATTCACATTCTTTAGGCTGGGTTTATAAGGTAATAACTTTTTCATTTACGTGTATCTTGGATTCTACTGTATAATTTAAAGGAAACACCCCTTTTCAAAGAGTTACAGGGAAGAGGTGGGGAGTTATTTGGCCTTTTCATTCATTTTTCAAAATACTGTCTCTCTTCATGAATCAACTTGAAAAGAAAATTTTCTGCTTACAGTAATTTCTACCAAAGTTTTAATTATTTTTTTTAATGGGCTTCATATCTTGTGCACAACTCCCATTTTCTAGGCTGAGAATGGTTGAGTCCCTCTACATTTTGTGGCCCTATTTCACGCAGCTGGTCAGGACAACTCAAAAGGTTTTACATTTTTCCACCATTTTATGTACCATGAAATTGCTCAGGTTTACTACAGCCAGTGTAAAATAACTAAAATTTAGTGCCAGTTTTGAAAGAGTAGCCAAGCAGCTTGAGCGTATTCAAGTACTAACTGACTTCAGATGACTGCGAAATCGGATGGGTTTAATTAAGTTTTATTGTGTCAGTCAGCACAGAGTGATATCATGTGTGGAGGTAATCAGAGCATGATAAAGTCTGAGTCAGTGTACAGCTAACTCTACAAAACACCGATAACTGTACAAACTGGGATGTGAGAAAGTATGCAGACAGAGAGAAAAGCAGACTGCTCTCCTACCAGGACAGGCGTGAGCGTAAGAATGAAGGATCTTTCACTTTGGCTTTTAACATGTGCAGCTGTTTCTAATGCTCTTCCCAGCCACCCAGAGAAAGATGAAGAAGATGCAAAGCTTGTACAGGTAACTACATTGTCCATATCTGAGATCTATTGAACCCTCTATTTTTAGATATAATCTGTGTGTTCCAGCTGCACAGCAGCTTGCTGCCTTTGCTATTGCATAGAATGCTGTTGCCCAGACTTTACTAAAATAGGATAAACCTTCACAAACTCGATATGTCACGTAAATAAGAATCAGGGACAATCTTGTCTGTTTCTTTTTAGCTACAAACTTCAGGAAAACATCTGCTGTGTTGCAAAATCACAGGCAGAAGGTTTTGCTCTCAGAGTACACAAACAATATCAGTCCAAAGGTATTTGTTTATGAAACAGATCAAAATGTGAAATGTGTTTGCTTTTTTTTTTTTTTCCCCCCACCAGGAGTATTTTAATAAATTCTATGCTGTTGAGCCAGATCCAAATCTACTTGGATGGAAAATAAATGCTGAATCCACAGCTGAAAAACTTCAGAAAATGCAACAATTTTTTGGTTTGAAAGTGACTGGAAAACCAGATAACGAGACATTGGAAATTATGAAGAAACCCAGGTGTGGAGTTCCTGATGTGGGTCTCTATGGTGTTACTCTGCCAGGATGGAAAAAAAACAAACTGACATACAGGTAGTATTTCAGTAATTACTGTCTAAGTTTAAATTTTAGGTTTGTGGATGTCCACTTTTGTTATATTTAAGTATAACTTCTATAGCAATTGTTTCCAGTTGGGAATACAAATATGTTTATCTTTCCCCAACTTTTAGCTGTTCATACTCCTGAGAGGAATTTCTGATAGTCAAGCCAGGTATTCCACATTTTCTGTGTCAACCACAGTATTTTGCCTGCCCGGAATCACTCCTGACAAATATTTTGTGAACCAAACAGAAACATCAATTGCACTCTGTATAAGCCCCATTATCTTCAAAATTTGCTAAGACCAACAGCTTAGCAGTCACAGAATCCTGAGGAGATAACTTTCCTCAAGTGACAACCTCCTGGCTAAGGACCATTTTGAGAAAAAATGATACTGTGTATTCATTATTATTTCATTATTATAATGAAAAAGACATGTTGAAGAGTTATCACATGCCTCAGTTCAAGATGAATCTTGGGAGCTGTTGGTTTACAGGTTAAATTTCTTCTTACACATTTCTGTTCATCATCTTAAAAATACTAGGGGTATTTTTTCTGCAGACATTAACACTTAAACTCTCATAACCATAGAATTGTGAACTACACACCAGATATGAGCAAAGAGGATGTGGATAAAGCAATCCAGAAGGCATTTAAAGTGTGGAGTGCTGTTACCCCACTGATTTTCACTCGTATTCATAAGGGAATAGCGGATATAATGATTGCTTTTGGGACCAAAGGTAATATGCTGACTGCATACAATGTTAAGATTAATTTATAGATTTTTCCAGTTATCAGAACATAAACTCAATGTTGCTTCAACTTCATGTTATTTAGCTCATGGACATTGCCCTCGCTATTTTGATGGTCCCCTAGGAGTCCTCGCCCATGCCTTTCCACCTGGCAGTGGTTTAGGAGGTGATGTACACTTCGATGAGGATGAAGATTGGACCACAGGCTTAGCTGGTAGGTAAAAATAAAAAGGTTTCTGAAGTGTTATGCAGATGGATAAATTTCTTTCTGATTTTATTTAAGTGAAGGAATAGACTGAGATGAAACACAGCATCAACCATAAGAGCAGTTTTCCTCCAACCTGAATACTTACGATGACATAGACATAAACTCAGACTGATCTACTCTAGTTCTTATTTAACACTGACAAAAATACTGATGGGACAATCCTTTCCAGGTAGGAATGGTACAGACATGGCCACTCTTACCTGGGGGCTGGTAGGGCCTACCAGAGTTTCGCAAACCAAGCTTTCTGATGTTTTCCCCTTTTGGTGCACACCAAGCCCGGCAGAACCACAAACTGCACAGGAAGCTTTGCAGCAGCCCTCAGAGGAGATCCCCACCACCTGAAAATCCATACAGCCACCAATGATAATGAAGAGTCTTCATTAGTAATTCCAAGATAGATTCAACTATAGGTAGCAGGGAGGGGAACACTGAGTGCTCAACCATCTGACTGGGATTCGTCTGCTCCTCTCAGCCTCTAGGCTGGCCTTACAGCACATACAGCCTCTGACAGATCTGTCAGTACACAGGTATCCTTTTCTCATCCAGTTTTTGGGATAGAAAACTGCAGAGGGTAACTGCAGCAGGGGAATCAAGGTCATGCCACAGGAAGGGCAAGGAGCTAATGAACAGGAAGGTGCTGTAGGAGCAATGCAAGAGGAGAGTGTGGGTTTATTGTGGTGGGAAAAAAAACAAAAGGCATGAGGAATGGGCATGCCGTGACAAAATATAATGTTTTCCCCACATCGGGACTAAATGGGTCAACCCCCATTTTGCTGCTGTTCCTCAGTAGCATGTCTCCAGCAGCCAGACATTGCAGAACTCTGAGAACAGAGAGGACTTGTGAGAGGGGGAGGACTGACTGGAAATATGTATGGAAAAAATGAAGCTTTGTTTTGTTTGCTTTTTGAGAAACAAATATCTTGGCTTCAGCTAGCCTTTCTTGGGCAATCGATGACCAGTCCTGTACCCTGCCACAGACTTGTGATCTTCACTAAGTCTGTTGACATTTTCTGGCTCTTGGTCTGTGGAGCAGATGATCATTCTTCCCTTATTCAGAAAGGCGTGATACTTGGAGGGATGCATGTTGAAGGAAATTCCACTTTTATCTATTTACTGTGTTGACATATTTCATGGAGAATAAGCATGTATAAACATAACATTTTAAAAATAGATCTTGCTTGACAAGACTATAAAGAAACCATACACTTTAAAGTCCTAATAGTAGAAAGGTATATCATTCTGCTAACATTTTATTTTTTCTTGTCTGCTCATGATCTCACCTTTCTTTCTCAGATTTTGGGAGGGAGGGGAACACACTTTGATGTGTGACACTTTGATACCTGAAGTGAGCATGGAGTGCGTTGTCCTACCCTTACCCTGGAGAGCTGTTAGTTTGATCTGACTCACCATCTAATCTCTTCTACCTCAGCCAGGAAACCCTGCCAGGACATTCTTCAGAGCTGCACCCACACTCACCTCCAGACATCTACTCATGCCACACACATACTTTCAGTAGCTAACAGAAAGAAAGAGGGTCAAAAGCCACTACCTTGTAGTGGGGGAAGACCATAACCTTATCCTATACAAAAATTCGTCCATGTATATGCATACCTTAGAGAATGTCAATATATTTTATGAAAACTGTCACTGAGCAATACCCTTGCTGTGATTGTAACAGCCAATTGCAGAAAAAACCTAGACTAATCTCTTCTCTCTATCAATTTCTTAAGGATTCAACTTGTTCCTTGTTGCTGCTCATGAGTTTGGCCATGCTCTGGGTCTCTCCCATTCTAATGATCAGAGGGCTCTCATGTTCCCCAATTATGCCTACAGCAGCCTCAGTGAATTTCCCCTCTCTCCAGATGATATAAGTGGCATTCAGTCCATTTATGGTGAGTAAAATCCATGGCTTTAAAAAAAAGCAGGAGAGAAATAATCTCTTTCATGAAGTTTCACCATAAAAATAATTGAATTCTCATACATTAAAAATACATTTATATGTGAAAACCTTAATGTTTCTACAATTTGATGCATTCTTTCTAAACTGTCTCCCTCAGGATCCCCCCCAAATGCCCCAGATAAAAGGCCAGCCGCTCCTAACTCACCTAAAACCTGTGGCTCCCAAATGTCTTTCGATGCTATAACTTCACTAAGGCGAGAAGTCATTTTTCTAAAGCACAGGTAAATACTGATATGCCATTTGTCTCTATGGGGTTTATTTTGTCTTGATTTATACAAAGACTGAATATTTTTGTAGTTATGGGATGTACAGTGAGACAAACAGATTTAATTTCATGGAATTAAACTTTAAGCAAATATGAGTAGTACGATTATTTTTATAGGATCCCCTGAAAAAACATGCTTTATTTTTTTTTCCATAAACCATCTCAATACCAATAATACTTTATTCCCAAATGTGTAGATGGTTACACCAAGTAGTGACTTGAATAAATGCTGCAACTATTTCATAAGAATCATAGAAAGGTTTGTGTTGGAAGGCATCTTAAAGATCTCCTAATTCTGATCAAGGACGCTTCCAATAAGATGGGGTTGTCCTTCCAACCTGGCCTTGAATACCTAGTTAAGTGTATAATTAATTTAACTAATTTAATTAATTAAATAAGAAATCAGTATGTTTGACAATATAGTTGAGCCAATCTCTCCTTCAGACACCTTTGCAAGCCCAAAGTCATCTAGGGAATTAATCTGGGTGGTAGCTTATGGTAAGGCTTATCTGGGATCCTATAAAAAAAACTCTCCCACTATATGGTAAAACCTAAAATTTTCAGCTGCTTATAGCTGATCCTATTAATCAATTAGTACCAATGAGAAGGGTAATGCCAGAAAGAAACCAGAATAAAAAACCCCACACTTCCCATTTGGGGAGTGTTTTCCTTTCTGACACATCAACACAGGTAACTCCACTAACAAGAACGAACTTGTAAGTGACAATGTTGTTCACATCCTTTTGTATATATAGAAATGTCCATGGTTTATTAGGTACTATAAGACCTGTTTTATATTTAAATCAGGCACTTATGGAGGGTCTATCCTGATAACTCAGAAGCTGAACGAGAATTAATTTCTACCTTCTGGCCAACTCTGCCACCTGCTATTGAAGCTGCGTATGAAAACATGAAAGATCAGATCCTATTTTTCAAAGGTGAAGTATAAGGTTTTCTTTAATTTTTTCTTAACTTTAATTTTGTGGGAAGAAGGGAGGAAAGAAAGAGTAGATATACAGACATAAAATTCACTTTTCAAATAAATAAAACAAAAATTTAGAACATTTCATCCAGGGTTCCTCCAAACTACAATAAAGGGCTGTATTTTTCCTTTTACTGTCTGAAAATGACAGGTGAAACTAAATCTTTTTATTGCTTTTAACAGGCAATAAATTCTGGGTTATCAGCGGATATCAGGTGTTGCTTGGTTATCCAAAGAATATCAACACACTGGGCTTCCCTAAAGGAGTCAAAAAAATTGACGCAGCCGTTTGTAATAAACATACAGGGAAGACAGACTTTTTCATAGGTGACAAGTATTGGAGGTAAGAAGAACTGACAAATATTTTCTTATTAATGACTCCAATATAATCTGAATACAATTCAATTTGTCCATGTGATAAAAGAGAAAACAGACCTTTAGGTAACTGTATGTAACTTGGTAATTCTAGTAGTCCTACTTTTCATAGAAACGTTTTTTTGACTGCTGCATGTGGAGAAGAGTATAGCTTTGGCTTTCGACTGGCATGAGTGATTCCCAATACTCAAGCACCAGGCAGGTGGAAGCAAAATGTCAGCTTTGGTAAGCTGATAGGTTCCTTCTGAGTTCAACAACAATGGCTGCAAAGGCCTTCTGCAAGCAACCAGGGGCATATGTGGGTCACACAGACTTTATTGTGACTAATTGTGGGGTTCCTCAGTGAGACATATGGTGTCAGCTGGATTTTGAAATTCATGTGGTTTCCTACCCTCTGTTTTAGATTGTTTTGGAAAGATTCTTCCCAATATCTTGCATTGCTATTTTACTGCCTTGCTCACAAGACAATAGCATGCAAGAAAACCACAACACACATTTCTTGCCTAATAACTCATTCTCTTAGCCTCATGTCCATGTGAAAAATATTTCTTGAATCCAAGGAGAAGTAAAACAAAGGCTTGATTGTTTGCTTGTGTTTCTTAACTGAGAGGGTTCCTCAAATCTGGCAGAACCTTTTAGGTTTTCCTTTTAGTCCCCTTAATTCAGTCTCATCTCATAAAAATTGCCCTGACTCAGGAACAACTTCATTGTTTTGGAAATGTCAGCTTCCTTTCCTCCATCTAAATCTGTCAGCTAGTAGAGGACTATCTACAATATCTTATCCTTCTTACGATAAATATGTGCAGTTACCATAGCAGAAATTAATCTGTCCACTTTCCAAGTACTGTCTGTCACAATGCTATCATTAGAGAAGGTAAATCCCATCCCTGCTGTCAAAAAATGTGGGTCTTCCTTCAGTCTTTCTCACTTCAGGTGCTTCTTTGGAGCTGTACCTGCCTTTATCAGCAAACAAGTAGCAACCTCATGGAAAACACAGTGACCAGCATCCCATAGACATTTTTGTGGCTAAATAATACACCTTTCTGTTGTAACCCCAGTGAAATCAGTCAAGCTCCAGATGGTGGGCATGTTTCAGCAGCTGCTTAACTCTGTGCAGAATTGATGTCTAAACTCTGTAAAATTACACATCTCCCTTCATATGATTTAGGTTTGATGAAAACAGCCAATCCATGGAGGAGGGTTATCCTAGACTGACAGTCAATGACTTTCCAGGAATTAGCCAGAGGGTTGATGCTGTTTTTCAAAAGAAAGGTAAATGGAATGAGCTTTTAAATAAAATCACTTTACTTCTAAAGATCAGAAGTTTTGAAGTTATGATGAATGTCATTGTTGCTGTATCCTGCAAAAGACAGAAGTGAAGAGATGCTCCCTTGTGTGTTCCCTGATTTGACAAAATGAAGTTATTTCTTATATCTATAACATGATGCTTTGTTTTTTCATCTCCAGGATTATTCTACTTCTTCCATGAATCAAAACAGTGGGAATTTGACCCTTTTGCTAAAAAGGTTATCCGAGAAATGAAGAGTAACAGTTGGTTTAACTGTTAATATCATAAAACTTTCTTACATCCAGCAAAAGACAATAAAAATAATTCTGCAGATCTCAGAACTTGCTAGTTCTATATACTAACACTACTATACATACAAAAGAGGCAACAGGACTAGTTTTTATAAATGGTTTTTATGTATTTTAATGAATGAACATGTCAGCTCAAATTGTATCTCTAAAGGCTAGAACAAAACTGCATTTTTCCCAAGTAAGTAAAAATGTGCAACATAATTTATTAGTTTGTACTCCAGAGGGTTTTTCAAATATTATGGCAATAAACTGATTTTGGTTGATGTCACTGTTTTCTGTTTCATCTGTTGAAGGCAATCTATATTTGTGAGGTGTGAAAGAGTGTAGGTTAATATACTTCCAACATACAATACTTATATTTTGCTTCTTTTCTTTCCAAAGAGTGATTTTTTTCTCTCCATCTGCAAGAGTCAGGCTTTTCATTAGTCACTTGCTTTTCTGTCCTCTCTCCTGCATCTTTTCCTGCTCTTCGACTGTGGCAGCCCTGTTCCCTTCACATTATAACAATATTTTGCCATCAAAATTAATATCCAGCACCAGTGTCTAAATACAGTATCTCACCCGATAATCACCCTGATTTGTCTTTATAGCATAGCCAGTTAGCTTTTCATCAGTGGCCACTTTTTGTAAAGCTGTGAATGACAGCCTTCACAGATCAGCCCTGTCCTATTAAAGAAATAGATTCAACTACCCTGTCATGGAGCACAGTCTTTGCTCCAGTAACTCAAACCATGTGCTTCAAATGCAAATACGTCTGAGATTTAATGCATGCTGTCATCACAGATGGAGCAAACTCCTCACAAAATGGGACAAAAGCTATAGAGTTACAGTCATATCCTCTCCAGGTATTTCTTTTCAGTTTAGTTCTGGAGAGAGTCCCAGAACACACTGCCAAATGGCTGACCATACTGCCTGCATGGCTGGGTATATTTGATCTCAGAATTGATTTGTCCTCCAGTTCCCTGTTCTCACACATTTTGCTGTTTACATACCTGTGGCACGTTTGAGTGAAATATTTCTTTTTGCTACTTGCTTTTATAACAATGGACTTACCCCAACCTGAACCTTTCTCATGTGGTTTTGTGTAAACAGCAGGAGTAACATCATTTTGCTGCTGTTTCTATGAAAAACCTGCTGGGTTTTTTCCCACCAGAAAACCGAAGTGGAGGCTCAAATATGCTGTTTCACTGATTTACAAAACTAGTCATGGTGAACACAGTTACAGTCTAGATCCCTAACAAAACTTAACCTTAAATTAGGATGAAATGGTAGACATTTAAGTGAGATTCATCTGACTACTTACCGTTTAGCTACGTATCTACATCAGTTAGGGAAGATCCCTGTACTGAAAGAAGAGAGAGACTGTTCTGGGGCAAACCAGTGCCTTCAGCCCCCAGAGAAAACATCTCTTTGCAGATGAAGGCCAGCCAACTAGCTTAGAGAAGCTCACTTTCAGACAGATAAGTATTGGTGGAATTTAAAATATCTTTGATGAGTATCTTTCAGTTTTTACTCAGAATATGTAAATACATCCTATTTTTTCTCCTCTACAATGTTCACTTTTTGACAAGTTACCACAGAAGCTTTTTATATCACCACAAGCCAGTGACAGAGTTGTCTGAAGACACTTGTTTGGACACCACTGTCTGTGGAATGATTATGATATTCCATAAGACAAGAGCAGAACATGCTGGAGGCAGGTGGGATGGAGTTAATTCCTTACTTATTTCTGTATTTCCAGCCTTCTCCAGTATTTAATTCAATTGATGTCTGTATAGCAAGCACAAACCAACAGCACAATCAGAGAGGCTGCCAGGTTACACCCAAGTGTTTGTATTCAGAGGCAAGTTTACTCTTTCACACACGCTCTGTTCAGTGTGTAACACAATTGTAATTTAAGTTGCAAGAAACAGTTAATCATTGAGTCATCAAGGAGATTATTCAGTTCTTCGTAATACATGGGCAAGTTCTTCTGTCTTCAGATACATAAACATCATTGTTACTCTGCACTCCTTCTTTTCTCGGGTCAAACATTGCTTCGTAATTTATATAAATCCCTTGTCTTTAGGAAAGTTAATATTTAACAGTGAAATGCTGTTACTGAAGTTTTCTGAATGGCAGCTTTGGCATTATCTTAAAGCAGACTGGGGTGCATGTTCACAGATCACCTGCAAAAATAAATAAAGCAATGAGTACTGCTGTTCCTTTATTTGCAAATAAGGCCTGGGAAATCATTCCTAAAAAAAGACGACTTCTGGTTAGTGATAACAGCCTGGTCACTCAGTTTTCCCTCTTTTATTGCCATTTCATTGGAATAATAAGAACCAGAATAGGAGTGTCAGAGCAGAAAACCAGTGCTTAGTGGTGGTCCTATCCTTCCATCTCTGCCAAGTACCTGACCAGCATGGGATCATGTCTTGCACCTCACCATATCCTCCCATAATCCTAAAGAGCTCCCAGTACCACCTCCCCAGCACTCTTGTGCCACCTGTAAGCTACTCATAAAGCATGTCCCCATAATAAATTTAGATATCTAGCTGAGTAATGCCATGTAGTTACCTGTGGGGTGACCGGCCACTGGCCCCACAGCCCAGTCGAGGGGCAAGTCATCTGCCTTCTCATTAATAGGTGTTTTTTCTCCTCTAGCCAGCTGCTATTTACCACAAAACCTGTAGGAGCTATGGAATTTCTGTTTGGCTTGGCTGAATTGGCCAGTACCTTCAGTTGCAGTTGGACCAGATGGACGCATAGACGCGCAGAAAAGAGGATTCCATGTGGTCAAGCTAAAATAATTTTCTTAGTGTTTTCTTAGTGTTATTCTTCTTGCTTTCCACTGAACATTTCCATTCAGTTTTGTAATATCATATTCCTCCTACTGTTGACCAGAGGAATTTGGAAGGGCAGACAAGGCAGGGTAGAAAAGACACATAAAACCAAAGAGAAAGCTAATCCAGTTGTTTCATATCACTAAGAAAAAATGGTCATTTGTTTCTCATCCAATTAATGTTTTTTACCAGATGTTTTTCAAATTAATCATAAGATCATAAGATGATGAGACGTGATTGAAATGAGGAAATCATACATCCTAATGCAATGTGTTGTTGAGACATGCAAACTAGAGCATTCCTAGTAGATTGTCCTGAAAAGTCCTGCTCACTTCTCTGCCTACAGGAACCTGGTCTCCCAACACTGGCAAAGGAGTGTTTCAGCTGAGTGGGGAAGGAGCTGTGTATAATCAAATACTTGCCAGAGCAGAGCTTAAAAACCCACATTTTTTAAGTAGAGTTTAAAACCTTTACCTTCTCAGGTGAGTAACCTCCCCTTGTGCTCTCACATGACAGACAGATGCCTTGAGAAAACTGATAATGAATCTTTTTAAGGGTTTGATACTTTAAAGAAAGAAAATATATGAGCATGGGAGCTAAAGCACAGAGAAAGAATAGATCATTACCTGGATATACATAACCACCCTTCCCTGCACTCACTCATAACTTCATGCCTCTTGATGCTAATTTCCCAATTCCGGATAACAAGCAAGGAAGCTGCAAGGCCAGTGTTTAGGCACTCGTAGCTAACATGCTCTGTGAACATCTTATGGAGCTTGAACGTTTTTGAACACTGATCCTTCAGACCTGCCAGAGCCATGCCCAAAGTAGAGAACTGAAAACCAGTACACACATCACAGATATGGAGATGGAACTTCAACGACAACTGAGGATGAGAGAGACAATGTGCTAGGCCAAAACAGGTGAGAGCAGTTCTCTGAGATCTACAGACACAGGCAGAGACCCTTGCAGAGTTAACACTCTTAATGACAGCCATCTCAGTGACCGTACCGAGTGTACCCTGTACCTGTATTTTGTAGAGGGAACCTACAGGTTTGAGTTGTGGGTTCTGTGGTTGTAGCTGTGAATCAGAGTTTTTCATGGTCTGTCTGCACTCATTCATTAGATCAACTTGGGGGAAAGGTTATTTGGGGATTTTCCTTATGCGTCATGGGCTTCATGTGTTTTTATGATCTGTAAGCATTGTATCTTGCTACCTTTCGATAAATGAGTGGACAGAGATTTGTGTGTGTTTGTGTGCTCCTATAAAAGTACCTTGCTCATGAGTACATATGGCTCTGTGCAGGCTCTGTGGGGCTCTATGGCCTGCAGAGGTTAAAGGAGCAGGGAATCTCATCAGCTGTGTGGAAATGCCTCCTCTCTATGCTACAAGCAAATGCTGCTTGTGGAGCCAAGGGCCGTAGAGCCTCCACATAAATCAGTAAGACAATGTTTTAAACTATGAGATAAAAATCCAATATAAGCTCAGCCTTTGGATGTTGTGACTGTCGGGCATCTGTTTGAGCTTGGACAGATGAAGGTGGTGGTTACTTTTGGAGCAGTTGCTGTGCGTGTGGGAGATTAGCATAGACTGACAAAGAAAATGCTGCTTCTTTCAAGAGATGGGAGTTGCAAACCTCACTTTGCCGAGTACAGCCTATAGGTGCCATGGCCACAAACCGTGGGGACCAGCCAGAGCTACCCACATCGGGGTCCCTCGGACTGGGAGTGGGGGGGGTCACAGCTGCCGCTCCAAGGTCCCAGCTGTCACCCTGCAGTCACAGCTGCCACCCAGTGGCTCACACAGCTGCCACTGATGGGTCACAGACGGCAGCCAGTGGTCTAAACCGCCATCCCGCGGTCACGTCTGTCACCCCACGGTCACAGATGCGACACAGCTGTCACAGCTGCCGCCCCGCGGTTACAGCTGGCACGCGAAGGCCACAGCTGTCGCCCCGCACAGATGTCACCCGGCGGTGGCGGTCCCACCCCGCGGTCACTGCTGCCACCCCGCGGCCGCAGCTGCCCCAGCTCCTGCTCCGGGTTGGCTCCTCACAGCTCAGCTCCTCAAATGCTTCACTTCGGTTGCGCGGTTGCTCGGCTCACGGTTTTCTAAATAACGCTTTGCATGAGGGTATTTTCTG